GACTTCTTATAGCGACTTAGAATGTGGGCCATTATACCCTTTGGATGAAGGTTTGCATCACTACACATAGGCCTATGGAATTGTTTATTCCTTGCATGATGCAAACTTGCATCGAAAGTCTTGAATTTTGTATTCCGACACATTTTAGTATCACTGTATGACATGGTATTGGTGATGTCGTGGGCCTACACAACGCAATTGGTGTTGTTTTGGCTTAAATTAATACAACAAAAGGGTTGGCGCAGAGTAAGATGGTTACAATGAGTGTAAGGCAAAACTTACCGGCGCAGTTTTTGCGTCATAGCTCAAATATGGCAACACAGGTTTAAGCATTGTTTTAGAACCCGGCCCGCTCGATCGATTTAATCGACCCAGAGCTTCACTGGTTGGGTTAAACAATTTCTCTATTCACCCAAAACCCAAAATTTGGATGATGATCGACAAACATTGAAGGTTGAAAGATGGATGCATGGAAGCAAGCATATCATAGATCATAGTTTTAAAAAAAAAAATTCAATCAATTAAAATAATAGGTAACACTGTACCTTAAGTCCTTAGCAACTTGGAGACTCTTAATTTCAAGAGAAATTAAGCAAAGAGTATCCACCCAAGGGAAAAGAAATTTGCCAAGAGAAAGATTTAGGGTTCTTAGAGATTTTGATCTCTACCCAAAATTGATATATCATTTTCTTTATAATGAATCTTTGTAAACAATTCAATAATTGTTTTGGACTTCCTTAAACAATTCCATAATTGTTATAGTTGTTAAACTTCTTTAAATTATAACATTGGATTAACATTTAATACACTAATAATTTAACTCTTAATTGTTTACATAACAATTAACCCTTAATTTTTTACAATTACAACCCCTTATAAATCCAATTTAATAAAGAAAATGATTATTAAATAACTTTATTACCCTTGGTAGGTGCTAGCCAACCTTGGATAATCAACTCTCTTGGTTATTTCTCCATTCTCTTAGTTTTTATATGGGACCTTTTAGGTTCACTGTGCCTACCGTGGCCCAATATCCAGTCTATTTCGATATGTTTTGTCATAACTCTTTATGAACAAAACTCCCATTGATATGGTAGCATATGCAATGCTCCATAACCCTAATCACAATAAGATATTAACAACTTTACAATCATACACGTTGTATATCAAATCTTTTGTCTATCTCAATTAAGAATGGTTCATGTATGTCAAAATCTTCTTAATTTTAATTCAATACATATGGAACTGTCACCATAAAACCTTTCATTAACATTTTATATACCCCGCCGAGATTTCTCTTTCCAATGTATCTTGCATTGTCTAGGAACTTGATATCAATCTATACCAAGTCAGGGATCCTACTTGACTATCATTCCTCACAATAAACAACACATGCCAAATTGACTTATTAACACATGACATGATTAGCCTCGTTTATACACCATATGAACCATATGGGTTTATGCAGAATCCAACCGTGATATCTCAGGTTAAGGATTAATAATACACTATACGATCTTATGATAAATCATTAACTAATTTTAAGTCCATGTGATTCATCATAAATGGCCATATTCGATAAACAGTTCACTAACTGCGTATCCATGCTAATGCTCTAGTGATATAACTTTTATAATCACCCACACTAATACCCACATGATATTCTACGGAGATTCAGCATGCCTACTATTAATATTATTGCCCAATTAATATACCTATGTAGGAATCCTTTGATGATTTTGATCTTTTAAAGATTTGTATCATCGGACATTTCACAGTAATACTATATATAATGAAGAATAAACCACATGTTGAAATAAGAACATTTTCTTCTATTGATAAGATAAAATGTATATACAAAATATATACATTAACATATATATACAAAACATAATGCCTTGGAACTGAGACAAATTGGTTCCTAGGGCATACACTACAAAGGTCGAGATGTTGGGGCTTTTAAAGTGAAAGTGCGATGACTACATGGTGGCAACGGAATTGATTTCCAGTGAGTGAATCGACTGGAAATCTAAAAAAAAGTGGCAAAAACCGCTTTTGTTGGCGATTGGAAAGGTTAAGGGGTGGTGAGGTGGGTTTTGTGGGAGAAAGAGGGGAGTATTTTTGGGGTGATGGGGGAGTATTGTCGATGCCGACTTCGGTGAGATCTGGTCGAAATTGAACATTTTTCGACCAAATTTGGGTATTTTCTGAGAATGGGCTCAAAGGATGATTGGAATTGCATTTGGGTGTCGCCGCACCAACCAATCGCCGGCCGATTTGTATTGGGGTGTGTTTCTAAATTTCAAACTGTGAGAGACTTACAAATTTTAGGGGTGTATTTGTGAATTTTAAAAGTTGTCACTCTGTTTGACCGGCCGGTCAACCCGGTTAACCGATCAACCTGGGACCAACTTGTCTGGGTTTCACCCCAGGTTGTTGTTAAAACATTGGTTTAAGGTATTCCTATGAACTATTAATTTCCGTTGATATACTAAAATTTTCTAGTAATGCATCGTCACAATTTTGGGGGCAACTTAATTGAATTCTAAAATTGCTGGGGGATTTTAATTAAAATTGTCATAATTGCTAGAAAACCTTGAATTTCCCAAACTTTAGGGGGTTAAATTGATTTTTTCTCGTTTAGGAACAAAAAAATTCTTCGATTTCATGCAAACATATAGATTATATAGTGCTTTTTATATTTTTATTTTTTCATACGTGATGAAAATGATGTTTATGTGTTTAAATTTGCATATTGGATATGCAAATGGTTGAAAGTTAGTAGTGTATTTGGTTACTCATTGCGTTGAGAAAGACAATATATAGGGCCTATTTGATAGGTTATTTGAAAAAATGTTACTCTGAAAAACTATCTGAATATGATAAGATATGATAGGATTTTAAGGATGTGTTTGGTATGATATCTTAAAACTATATCAAAATTGCATAAAAATTAGAATAGTTGTTTAGTAAATTTTTGGAAAATATTTAGATTACTTTTTAACCCCTATATTTGTTAATTTAACTAAACACCCCCCACAATAAAAGTTTATAAATTAACAAAAATACCCCCATCTAACCAAAAATTGCCGACAGTCGACCATCACCGCTAGACGACAGCCAACAGTCATCAAAATGGCACACGACCAGCTGGATCTAGCCGATCGTGCGCCAATATGGTTTTTTCTGGCCAGATCTACCATGGATCTGACCGAAAAAAGCCAAATCTACAACTAGCATCTGGTCGTTGTTAACAACCAAGATCTGGCTATCAACGACAGCCAAAATATGACCATCGTCAACAACTAGATAAATCTGGCCATAGATCTGACCGTTTTCGACCAAATCTATGGTGGATCTGGCCGCAAACGGACACATCAGCACACGAATTGCCAAATTTGGTCGGTCATGTGTCGTTCTAGAGCCGATGGGCATGGTTGCTGGCAGCTGGTAGTGGCTTGGGTGGGTGTAACTGTTTTGGTTAATTTATAGACTTCTATTGTGAAAGGTGATTGTTTTTAATTGAATTGAGTTAGAAAAATGTTAGAATGAGATAACAGAAAACAAGTCTCAGCCACTTTTCATTTTTAATAGAAAAAATCTTATTTGATTCAGACTGATTTTCAAAATAATGATTCTAATAAGTAAACAAATACTTATTTTGTCTTTTAATCTAAATAGAATAACAGAAAAATGATTAAGAAAAGTGAAACAAAGAGTGGGATAGTTTTTGTAACTTTGTTAGTGATTATGAATAAACCGTAAGAGTTATGCGGGACAAAATTCGTCAAAGGGACAAAGCTAATGTTAGAAAATTTTAATAAAAAACATAATAATATCAAAACAATTAAGCTAAAACAAGAGGGAGGAAGAAAACTTGTTGCAGTCATAAACTGACAAATACACTCCTTTATATAGGCATTCAACACCCTAATTATACTCATAGGAATCTTAATAGTAATCAATTAGATTAAACACTTAAACATGACTCTTAAGACTTTTAATAAAACTAATATGGTTGATTTAATTTCGAACAACTAAATATTTTGAAAGAAAACAAAAAACAAATATTGAAATACCTTGAGGCGATTCGAAGGATATGGGGACTCAAGGTAGATTTTGCATTTTCTTTTCACAAATACTACTAGATGTACAAACTTTTCTAAATAAGTTGGTGTCAAATAAAGTGAATGAATGAGTGCATATAAAACTTTAGTTAAATAAATGTTTGATATATATATATATATGGATGAATGATGTATATAATAGTTTGTATATATAGCACCACTTTTTTTTTTTTTTTTGTTTAACCTTGGTTGAGATTCAAGATGGTACCATAATTATAAAATATCATGTAGATCCTTACATTTATATTAACTATAAAAGAACCCTCAATATCACATAACCATATAAAGTCAGTTCCGCTAACCCCCATGTGATTTCAACACTTCACGACACGTGGAAATTATGATTGGGTTAAACTTTCATTAGGGCTTTATATCCATTAAACAAAAATCTCCCTTACACCACCTGAAACATGAAAAAACTTGAAGTGCCCCTATAACTATCCAAAATACCCATGATGAAGCCTCCACCTTTGCAATTACATATATGCCTATTGATTTTTTTATTTTATTTTACAATTTCCAAAATCAAAATTATATTTTTACTTATACATGTTTAAAAAAACTTCAGTTTTTATATTTTTACTTTACAAAATATTTTAATTTTTAATTCCGTATTTATTAATTTATAATACATATAAGAATGATGTTTCAATATTCTAAAAATGTTCACTTATTTTTCTTATCATTTTGAAAAACAAATTTAATCTTGGCTATCTATTTGAAGAATCAAAGTATTTCAATTGATTGAAATAATGATTAAAACATATCCATGGTTAAAATTTGTGTTGTTTTATTTTAAATTAAGAAAAATCATTATTTATTTATTTACATTAACAAATAGAGTAGAAGATATTAAACGGGTGTGGCAGTGGCATTGGTGGTGGAGGATGAATGACAGTTAAAAGCTGTTGAAGAATGGCCAATCACTTTAGAAAGAAGAACTCCTCTCTTTCTGGGCATGGCTGTGGTTGTATCATCAACACAAAGGCCAAGGCCCTATCATTTCAAGCCCGTTCGCTCTTCCATCTCTAAATGCTGCCCTGCTGTTATTCTTCCAGTTGCATTCTCTCCTTCTTTCTACACCTTTTGCATAGATTTATGTCAAAACTTTCACCATTAATGACGAGTTGAGTTGTTTTTGTTACAGGGATTGGGCAACAATTCTGGAGACTACCAGAAGTTGGCGATGACGTTGAATGAGTATGGAGTATCCGCGGTGGTTGCCAATGTGTCAAGATTTGATTGGTTCAGAAATGCTGCCGGTTTGGCTGACCCCAACTACTGGCGAGGCACTCTTCGTCCTCGCCCGGTTCTTGATTGGTACGTTAACCTTTCTGTGAGTTTATATAATATAAATAAATTCAGGGTGGATTAGATAACTGTAGAAAATTGTGTTTACGGGTAGGTATTTCAAGAGGATTGATGAGGCCATCCAAAAGGCTAAGCCCTTGGCTCAAGGTGATTGATTCTCTTTGTAACGCTGCTGCTTTTTTTTTTAAGTAATTTTCATTGAATTTGAATTTATATCTATGTTTTTCTTGTTTCTTTTATCAGATTAGTTGGAATCCTAAAAACGAAAAGAAAAAATAAAAATACAAAGGGACTTCTTAGCTACAGATGGGCTAGTTAAAATAGAAGTACCATCTTAATAACCGCCATTGTGTACCCTGCAATCTGACCAGCCATTGATTGATGATATACTGAAAATTTAATTACTCTCAGATATCTTCCCTGAAATTCAATTACCATCTCCAAAAACTTTATCCCCTGATTGATAATTTCCCTTGTGAGTTATGTCTTGCCTTACAACTATATGAGAGGAACCTTTGTTTCAATTGTTTGTTGGTGTCAACTATAAAATTCTACTAGTAATTAATTATTAACAACCTTTTGTTCTTGGCGAAGCAAGCTTGCAATTTTAGCATGATTGTCCTAGGTTAATATACTTTATGCGCAAGTTTTGGGAATTAAAGTCTGACCTAAATTTTGAATATAATGATTCTTTGTTTGAACATGAAAAAAGTTAAGCGATCCTGTATTAGAGCATGCAATGTCTGGTTATTTCAAAGCAACTAAAATGGTGATTATTGAGGATGGTGCCAACAATGTTAATCAGAATCATGTCTGACTTTTGCATCTTTAGTTAATACAGACACTATGATAATTAAAACCCTGTAATTTTTCTTATTCTAGGGGGAACTTTATCCCTGATTGGACACTCAGCAGGAGGATGGCTTGCACGTGTCTACATGGAGGAATTCGGGTTCTCTGATATCTCTTTGTTATTGACTCTTGGTACTCCCCACCTGTAGGTTATCAATTTTCAGATTCGATATTCTTGCTATACTTTTGGATGCAATTAAATTTTTTCACACTGTCTTTGTATGTTTAGTGGAGTGGTTTGGTTGAGATTTACTTGCAATTTCAGTTATCCTATTGCAAGATATTACTTTAAATTAATTGTGAGTTTTAGCCTTTTTCCTTTTGTCCTGAATCTAACCATCATATTTTTTTTTTTTTTTCCAGGCCGCCTCCAAAAGGTTTGCCTGGTGTGATTGATCAAACGAGGGGTCTCCTGAACTATGTTGAAGAAAATTGCTCAAAAGCTGTTTACACACCTCAACTCAAATATGTATGTATCGCAGGGAGGTAAAATCTGAATCAGATCCTGTTATTGTTCTAGAATTTCATCTCCTTTCAATTTTACCACTTACCTAATTCAGTTTTTGCAAGTTAAATACAGTTATCATTATTTGTTGGCCATTTCTTTGTGCCACATACCTTTCTGTAATTCTTTTCTCTCAATGTACAATGCATCCTTTTTATCAAAGAAAATGAGTTATTCTAACTGATCCTATCATCACCTCAGGGAACCATCAGTAATTATTTTGTTGTAGAAGATCTTGTTACATTAATTTTGCTATGCACACAAAATAATCCTTTTTCTTTCCTGTTGATTGGTTTCTTAAAGAAGAATATATAATTCATCACTGCTCAAACCACATTCTTGTTAGACTATTTCTATCAATTGTTTTCTAGATTAGACTTATATGATTAGTTCCACAAAGCACACTTTTCCCCTCTTTTGGAGGTTTTAGGCCTAGCTTGATGTAGCCATGGTTACCGCTTTTTGTACCAATTTTTTGACTGCTTTTCTTTCTGTTTTCACTTTCAGATATCTATGAAGTCAACTTACCTTAGTTTCTTCAACTAAATTTTACTGAAAACAAGGATGACTATTGCTTTTCATCCAGTACCCCATTTTTTCCTTTTTCCATTTCGGTTAAGAGATGCTTAATTCTTCTTCTTCTTGAAATCATTTGATCTGGCAACTCTGTTTTATTCCTTGAGATAGTGAATGCAAATTTGTTTTTGTAGTTGTATAGAATTTAATCAATTTATCATGTATCGCTAGTCTTTAGCTGTTAACTTGATAGCTATGTAATTTAGGAGGACCAGAGTAATGCAAAAATTCAGTATTATTCAATCTCCTGGATTATGGGATCCATAAGAATTGTAATTTTAGTTTTAGGAAAATGCTAACTCTAAAGTGAAGAAAAAAACAAATTTTTTTACATGTTTCAATGCATTGTAATTTCTTTTTTTTTTTCCACCGAGTATATTTACTATCATACAATTTTTTTTCCTTTTTTGCTTTAACTATGTTCCCTTAAGTTACATACTAAGAGTACTCTTAGATTCAACAACCAATAAATAGTTGCTGATTGATTTAAATCACTTACGGTTCAATGAAAAGTAGAAACTACACAACCTTTCTGCTTTTAATATATTTCTGGGAAATTCTCAAAGAAACATCTGTGAAATACTTGAAAAGTCTAGTATGTAGTTTTTCACGGAAAGTCTTTAGGTCCTTTCCTGAATAGTATTAGACTATGAGTTTTTTGGATAATGAACCAAAACATTTAAAGGTTGTTATGCTTGCATATATGATGCATGTTTATTAATAAAAAATAAATGACATTGGGAGAAAATTATGTAAATCCAACTGTATTTTATAAGTTGTTGTCGAAGTTAATTTTTTGTATGATCATCACTAATACCTTTCTCTTCTTTTTTTTTTTTTTTGTGTTTTTACATGTGTCATTGAATGGCAAATCATAGAAATGAAATTGAAATTTAAGAGTATAGTGCTTCTGCACAATTGATATGAAATAGAAACTGAAACATGTCTGTGAGGGTTCTTTGCAATGGCTGGGTGTACATGAATAATATGTACTATTTATTGTTTACTGATGTAAAATGGACCTAAACTGAAAAAGTGTTGCAAATTATATGTTGAAAAGAACTAGGACAATGTGTTGACAAGAGGAATTTGCAAATTATACTTCATTAAGTTTTTGCAAGTTAGAATATTGCTAAAATACTGAACCTAAATGAGTTATATAATTGCAGGTATATTCAGGGAGCTCGCTTCTTTGGAAATTCAAATGTTGATATTGATTCTGTTGTTGCTATTGACACTGAACAACCAATTTCTGAGGTTGCTGTCATGAACAACGAGACCAATTCAACATCAGTTTCAACTGCGTTTCGTGCTAGATTTATCGGACAGGGGTACAAGCAGGTAAACTTAATGATCTATGCACCTCATCATATATCAAAAAGGAAAATAAATGAAATTAACTTTGAGAGTTGATTTCTCTATTTTGATGTTTCTATCCTCTGCATGTTTCTTGCGTAAACCAGGATGAACCTGTGAGTTGATGTTAGTAGTTAATTGGTGCATATTGATAAATCAGGTGTGCGGGCAGGCTGATGTATGGGGTGATGGAATCGTGCCGGAAGTATCAGCCTATCTCGAGGGTGCACTAAACGTTAGCTTGGACGGAGTTTATCACTCACCAGTTGGTTCAGACGACATATTGAGACCCTGGTATGGTTCTCCTGCTGTAGTAGAAAAATGGATACACCACCTCCTCAACTAGTTATACCCGAGATGCTTCACCGAAAAGAATAATTATTCATGTACTGGTGTACGTATGAAATCATTATCTCATTGCATTGCATTCTTTTCTTATGCTTATTTTGCTATCAGTATTATTTACATTCTTTCGTTTTGCTGCATTTGTCTTATTAAAGTTCAAGAAGCAACAAGCTAATACCAGGCCACCAGGGCGTTTTCTCATTTAGTTAATTTGGTTTTCTGATTAAACTTCAACGGGAAGCTTGCAAGTCTTTGAAATTCAATGGTCACTCTTCACTGCCTTTCACATCTTTACTCACAAGTTGACAAATTTGGGAAACTACCTATTTTCTTTAGGCAATACAGAAGGTCCTTTTCTTTCTCCGGATTATAGGAGCACCTAAATAACATAAATTCTCAAGATAATCGAGATTAAATGAATGCTCTTCATCAGTACATTATTTTCTGATGGTAAAAACTGAAGAAGCATCGGTTAGGTATCATAAACTAAAATAAACTGGAAAATTGAAAAAGAAATGACACTATCTACTATCTTCGAGGCCACGATACCTTAAAGACTCTTCATTAATAATTTTTACAACATGTCCACCTAAACAACTAAGCCACAAACCCAACCCAAGAGTTCTGCTGTCACACAAAAGTATGCATCAATATTACAACTTCCAGAAAAGAAAGGACACAAGAGCAAGCTCATAAGAGTTGGGCAGCAATTTAAAGCCAAACACCTACATCTGATATCAGAACAGCAGTCAAGCAGTCTTCACAAAATGAGGGGACAACAGTTTCCCAATCTCCAGGAATCCAACTGTATCTTTACCATCAAAAATGGCCTTAAGCTTGGCATCACAGACGATTTCCCGCTTGTTCTGAGGATTCTGCAGCCAAACGCATCCACATATTACCGTATGCCAAATCATTTCCAACCACAGAAATTCAGATACATGTACCTTAACACTGATAAGCTATATGTGATATCCATGAGATTAAATAAATTCAAAGCATGACCAAAATACAGAAAGCAAATCAACACTCAGAATCGGACATAAGTGCCCTCCCCATTACATCTAAGTAGGCAGGACATATAGAAATAACAATATAGCAGGCCCCTTCCAAGCAAGTTTTAGACATAATATAATCTCAAAAGTTTACCTGCCTCATAATAGAGGACAATGTAGTTTTTAAAGAACAGGGCTCGGGTCAGAAAGTGCAAGATCTCATTGAAAATTCAAGCCTACACCAACCCACAAAGCCTGCAAATTGATTTTAGTTCACATATAGGGCGCGAACAAAAGAGAAATAAGTTTAACAGCCAAAATTATAACGCCATTGAGTAAACTGATCCACACAGCAGAAGGGAAAAGTAACAAAACAAACCTCGGTTGGTTTCTGTAATGCAATCATTAATTTAACAGGCATAGCTGAAGAATAAATAGTTCTGGTTATCCCTCAGTTTACGAAGTTCACTCTAGAATTTACCAGACTTTTCTAGTACTTGCTATACGTGGAAAAGCCATTGCCAAATAGTAGAACTCCATACCCAAGGTTACTACATTATCACGAAAACAATAAAAGTTGAATGTGTTGAACATAAGACTTATACATGATATGCACATTAGCGAAAACGGCCACATCTACGGCTAGAGATCTAGCCGTTGACAACGGCCAGATTTTGGCCAGATCGATGTATGAAGGGTCAGATCCAACCGATCATGTGTCATTCCGTTGATAGTGGCCGGTAGGCGGCAGTGGGTTGGGTGGGTGGGGTGTTTTTGTTAATTTTTAAACTTTTATTATAGGGGATGTTTAGCTAAATTAACAAATGTAGGAGGCTGAAAAATAATCTTAAATATTTCCAGAAAATGTTTTCAAGAAAAGTATCAAACAATTTTTCAGCATTTTATCCAACTTTGATATAATTTTACATTAATACTAGCCTCACTAACACCTCTCACTAACCCCACGAGGCAATTTGCAATTGGCTTGGTCACGCGGGACTCATTGTTGGATAGGCAGGACCCATGCGAGCTGATTAATTGCGAGCCAACACGTGACGTTTGTGAGAGAAAGTTAGTGAAAAGTGTTTGTGAGTGTAGTATTACTCATAATTTTAAGATATTATTCCAAACACATTCTCAGAATCCTATACTATTCGATTTAATCCAACTCAACTCAACTTAAAATAGTTTTTCAAAATAACATTTTTCAAATAATCTACTAAACAAACCCTAAAATCACGCAAAAAAAATGACATTTAGAATAAATAAACCTTAAGACTTGCATACCTCCTTACACGCCAACACATTTCCACCCACGCTATTAACGAGAAATAAATCACCCCGCATGATTTTTGGCCATCAAAATGTATCTTATATAAAATTTCAAAATGATCACTTCATTAATTTTAATTTTCTAGCATTGCCCACATGAGCTAACATTATTGAGTAGAGATAATTTACTTAATTCAAACCAAGGGCTTTTACCACTAAGCCCAACCTTTGACACAAAACCCTTAATCACTTTCTCCTATCATTCTCGGTGTGCCTTGCTTTCTAATTATGTATTTGATAATACCAAAAGCAGTTTCAATTAGTTAAAAGTGCTTTTATATCCATTTTGAAAGTGCTTTTTAAGATCAAAAAAGCTTGATTAGAAAGCATCTATAAGTGCTTCTGAAAACAGTTGTACAAAAACAACCCAATCGAACCCAAACACCATCGAAAAGATTCCACATTGACAAAAAAAAATAACAACAGAATCAAAAGAGTAAAATAAAACAAAATAAAATTTTTAGGGTTTAAAATGAAAAAAAGAAACCTGGAGGTTGTGAGTCTTGATGTGGGACCAGATCTTGCGAACGGCGTCAGCGCGGGAGGATTCAGAGGCTCCGAGAAAGTGAGCAAGGGCAGGGGAGATAGGACCCGCCTTAAGAATTCCAACGGGTCGACCAGAGCCTGGAGCTTTGGGCTTGGGTGGAGATTTGGCTCTGGGTTTTTTGGTGGTGGTTGGTTTAGTTTTGGTGGCGGCAGAGGTTGAAGAAGAGGCCTTAGCCGGAGCCAAGAGAGCCCGGCAACCGTTGAAAACCCTAGAAGCAGCGGAAGACATAGTTGCTCTCAAAGTGTTCGTTGATTTGCTGAAGAAAAAGAGTAAATTATTAAGGACCAGATTTTATAAGCAGAGGACAGTGGTCAAGTAAACAGTAATTAGCTGCTGTAAAACAGTTAAAAAATAATTATAATAACAAAACAAAACAAAAGGTAACTGTTTTTGGTAACTTTTGCGTGCACTTTTTCGAACTTTTCAAGTTAAATCTAATGTATTAGTTAGCATAGCCAACTTTTCGGAAATTATCAAAAACCCTCCAAGAGAGGGGGGTGTTTAATAGTTTTTAAAAAATGGATGCAACAGGAAGATGTATGAAATAAACCCTTTTAAAATATTGAAAATAATTAAAAAAATATGAAAAACAAAATGGTATATATTATGAAAATGGTCTAATTTTTTTAAAACATAAATAAAAAGTTAAAAATACATGACTAAACACCCTCATATTATCGTTTATTTTATTTATCTCAAACAATATGTCTCAAATATGTAAATTTTTTAATCAAAATTCTAGTTTTATGATAAAAAAACATTTTGAAACAAATTTATATTTTATGATAGAAGATAAAGAGAAAAGGCAAAAAGATTGAATTTTTTTTATTAAAATTTGTATCTATCCTTGCTCCTAAATTCTATTTTATGTGAAAATATGAATAAAAAATTAATATACAAATGCTTATGTTACAAAACAAAATTGAGTTTGTAAACAAACTAAGGGCGAGCATGGGTAAAGGGTAGATTCAAAAGTGGAACCAGCCCCATTAAGGTCCGGTTCTAGAAAATTGCAATTGGGAATTTTCGGGTCTGGTTTCGGTTCCTACAATACTGGAACCGAAACCAAGATTCCAGTACCCGGGTAGGAATAAGGATTAAATTGTATTTTTTGTAAACTATTGAATGTATTTGTAATTTTTTGGGGGTTGTATTTGTCATTTTTCAAAAAATTGGGGATAATTAATTTATCTGGGTACCTATAATCGGAACCGAGACCTATGTTTCAGGTTCTTAAAAATCGGAACCAACCAATTTTAGTTCTGGTTCCAATTCTGAATCTTAAGAATCGGTCAGTTCTAATTCTTTTAAAAAATGCAGGATACCCGAAACCGATCTCCCTTAAAACAAACAGGCCTTTATTTTCAAAAATAATATTGCGCTTCAAAAACTATTTACATGAGGAAAGCTACTATATTCTTTATTAAAAAAAATATATATAATTTTTTTATTGTTTTACAATATTATACCAAAGAATAATATAATAATTTTTAATTCAAATAAAATACAGAACAATTTTTTTGTTGAAAGTTGAGGATGAAAAGATAATTTTTAATGAGTAATGCTACAGTCACCGAATTAGTGTACCAAATTTATGCACCGAATGACGTGACAAAATCCTGACCATTGATTAATATTAATCGACGGTCAGGATTTTGTCACATCATTCGGTGCATGAATTCGGTATATGACCTTCGGTGGCTGTATCTTTTCCGAGTTTTAATTAATAACGTGTGTACTTAGCAAAATAAACTAATTTTTTTTTAATAATTATCATCCTATTATAAAATATTTTAAAATTTTCGTTAATAGTTTATATAAGAATATCTCCAAAGAACTCTTTATATGAGTCAAACTTTTTATTATAAAGAGTCTATCTATAAAAACAAGAGTTCAACATATTCTTTATCTTTAAAATATAAATTAGAGAGTGAGAGTCAAATTTCACTCTCTATCCTAATTTTAATTAATAAACTACAAGTTCCTATGCATTTTATTTATTAATTTTTTCTCACATTAAGTCTCTTTTTTTAAAATAAAGAACATCTTCATTAAATTTAAAGAGTATATTGGATTTGAATAAAAATTATGTTCTTTATATTTAAAAATTAATTAAGATGCTCTTTATTTATATAAAAGATACTCTTCAAAATAAAGAGCTTTTGAAGAGCAAGTAAACTAATTTAAAATAGAGTCAAACTCAAAAGAGTAATTTCATTTGATTCCTTATACCCAAAATCATTATCCCATTCCTTATGTAAATTCC